CCCCAAGTAACCAAAAAACCCCCACAAACACCAGGATTTTTTTAAAAGCGGAAATAAATTTTTTTTTAAAATAACGGGGTAAGCCAAATTTTTTTGTTTTAAATTTCCCTTTACCCTTATTTTCCCGGAACGGAAAAACAAATTTTCCCCAAAACGATTTTAAATTTTTCCCATAATGAAGATAAAACCAAAGGATTTCAATTCATTCCGGGGAAACCTTTTAAACCCCCCCAAGGGATATGACGCAGAAAAGGGTTTTTGGAAAATTTTTGGGTAGTATTTAAATTTTTAAAAAGGGCAAAAATGTAAAAACAAATTAAAGAAAAAACACACTGTACAGGGCACAAAAATTAAGTCTTTTGCAATACGCACACTTTGGGGGGAATTTTGGGAAACCTTGTTAAAGGGGGTTATTTGGCAAAAAACATTGAGAAATCCCTTTTCCCTTTTAAAATGTTTTTGAGGGCCCTTACACATTTTTAAAATTTTATGTTAAAAGAAAAATAAAAGGGAACAGGGGGCCCCGGGGGAATTGGGAAAATGGTTAAAGGGGTTGGGAAACTTACTTGTGTCAAAATTACAACCAAATTTCCAAGGATAAAAACCCAACTTTTTTTTATAAAAGGGACAAGGGCTTTGGGTTAGATAAGGGTTCCCCTTTTCCTTTTTGGGGGCAGTGCCCAGGCTTTTAATTTAAAACCAAACCCAAAAACCCGGGGTTCAACTAAAAACCAAATGTTAAAAAAAAATTTTTTTATTTAAAAATTTTTTGGGTTTGCCCATAAAGGGGCGAAGAAAAAGGGTTCTAAAACCCCCAAGCAAATTATATTTTAAATTTTTAAAAAAGCCAAGGGAAGTTTGGACCCCCAAAACGAAAATTTGGGAACACCCAAAACAAATTCCCAATTACGGGGGCTTTTATTTCAGCCCAAGATTTGTTTTTTCAAATTCAAAAAAAATTCGTTGGCCCAGGGGCTAAAAGGGGGCTAAACCAATATTTCCCGACACAAAAATTTAAAATTGGGTTCCCCAAAGCATGTAAAGGAAAAACGTGTAAAATACCTGTGTTTACGTCTCCGGGGAAATGTTAACAATCAAAATAAAATTTAAAGTTTTCCCGGGCTAAACACAAAAACACTAAAATTAAAACAAAACGGGATTTAAAACAACGTTCCAAACTTTTAGTTTTTTTTAGTAAAGGCACGAAATGAATTTATGTCAAAAAACAAAAAAAGACATTTTAATCTTTTTAAAAAATTTTTTTTCCCTTATTTTTCTATTTTTAAAAGGGAAAAAACCATTTTCAATGAAAATGGGTGACTATCCCCGGGGAAAATAAAAAGATGCCAATGCGGGGCGTTTTTTTCCCTCAGATAAAAAAAAGGGTTTCCCATTTTTTAAAAAATTGAAAAATCTTTGGGGTTGTTTCTATCTTTAACTAAACAAACGTTAAAATCCCCCCAACGCGTCTACTGAAACATGATTTTAATTTCTTTTTTTTGTGAAAAATTTCATTTTTTCCAATTGTTCGACAAAAATTATCCCTATTTTTTTTAAAATAAGGCTTTGTTGTGTAATGATTTTGTAAAAAACCCGATACTACTGTTTTTTAAAAGGTAACGTCATGTAAAAACAAAACCCAGGAAAAGTAACATCGAGTTTAGAAATACTCGGGAAAAATAAAACCCAAAATTTAAATGCCTTTTTCAGATTTTAAAATTTCCCCATAACCTAATCAACACAACACGAATTTTTCTCTTAATTTTCAATATATATTCCTGTTACTGCTAAAGATTAAAAAGTTTTTCATCAAAACAACGATTTCTAATATATAATTATGGGAGCAGACTTTCGTTACTCAAACATTTTACTTTTGGGTAAAAGTGTAAGCAATAACAGCCCGGGGTGCAATTGTCTTTGAATAAAAGCCCTAGGGGAAATTTTTTAAAAGTTCCCAGTAAAACATTTTTCAAATTTATAAAATTAAATTAGATACTTGGGTAAAATTTTCCAAATTTGGAAAATCCCAGTATATGAATATTTGGGAAAAGGGGATTTTAATTAATTTAAAAACATTTTGCCCATGAAAAAAAAATGTTTCTGAGCATGAGTTTTGTTTTAAGGGAAAATTTGTTAGAGTGTCTTTAATGCATCTATGCCCTTTAAACTAAATTATTTTTCTTTTTTTATTGGTCCCTTTTTAAAACATATGAAAAGATGCTTTTTTATTGCTTTGGGAAAGGGAAAATCGGTTTAATAAATGACATTTCAACAGGTTAACCCCAAAAACCCCAAAGCCCTTTAAAAGAATTAAAACAGTACTTTTTTTTTTTTTTTCCCCCTGTCCCTTTAAAAATTTTTTAATCAAAAGAAAAATAACTTTTGTTTTACCCTTTGCGCCGTATGAAAAAAACGTTCTTAAATAAAAAAACAGGCACTATATAAGGGTTTATTGGGGAAAAAACCAAATCACCAAAATCTGGAGGGAAATACCAAAAAAATGTATACTCCCTTTTGATATTGTCACTCCCCCTTTTTAAAAGTAAATTGGGCCCTCAAAAAGGGGTTTTATATTGAGTGAAATGGTAAAAATCATAATAAGTTTATTTTGGCCAAAAAAATCCTTTCAAATTTTTAAAAAATTTAAATTCGGGAAAAAACAATAAAAAACACACCCGATCCAAAAGAATTTCCTTTTTTAACCCCCTTTCTTTTAAAATTTCACGACTTTTAAAAAAGGGGCCTTTTTTACCCCCCTTTTGTTTGGGCTAAATGATGATAAATTGGCCCTTTTGGGCCCCCAAACTTGTTTTTGTTTAGAAATTTTTGGGTTAAAAAAAGGGGACCTCTTTTTCCCGGGCGGCCCCAACCCAAAAAAACATCGGGGGTTTCCAGAAAGGGGGTTCCCCCCTGTTTTGGGGGGTTTAAAGGGGGGGGGGTCCCCCCCAAAACGCCCAAGAAAATTTTTGGGGGCTTTTGAGAGGCCCGTAAAAGACCCCCCAAATTGATCCTTTGGGAACGGGGTAACCCCAACCCCCTGAAAAGCCCTTTGACCCTTTTCTCAAACCAAATTTAGAAGTTGCCAAACACTTTGAAATTTTAAATTTTTATGGAAAAAAACAACCTCCCCAAAATAAATGTTTTTTTGGGGGCAAATTTTGGGGGATGTCCCCCCGTTTTCCAATGGGAAAAGAAAATTTTTAAAACATGAAAAAGTTGTTTTCAAGGGGAATTTGGGCCCGTCCAAAAATTTGTTTCCCAAGTTTGATTAGTTGGGTTTAAACAGTTTTATAAGTAAAATAGCCAAATTTAACTTTGGGGAAGGGGGGACTTTCAATGGGAAAACAGGCCCCTTTTTCCAAAAATGCTCCATGAAGAAGGATTTTTTAGATCACGAGTGCTATTAATTACTTTGATGACATTGATTTTATAAAATTGAAAACAAATATGTCAAACTTTAAGTTATTTTGAGTTATACCTGAATAGTCCACGTCGGCATAGTGTCACTTTAATACAGTCTGCATTGTTGGAAAATATTGTGAATTGGGTATGAGTGCGATAATTAAAAGGACCGGTGTCATTCAATTGCTTTGAATTCTACATAAAGATCTTATAACATCCGTCATTTAAATAAAAACAAAACCCTAAAGAACAGTGTCTCTTATTCTTTAAATCTTGAAAGAAAATCATCAATTTTGCTACAGAGCCAAATCATTTTCCTAACCAAACAGTAGTCAATGAAAGTACGCACGCAATATCCTAAATAAAACTGAAGCTTGGGAATACTAGGTTATCATTAGTGGAAACAAAATATTTTCGCTTCATTTCAAGTTCACAGGAAATATGACAATAGCTGTGAAGTATATTCAGTCTTATTCAGTGTTATAAAGTGTTTATAATAGTAAATACGAATAGCTATGTAGTATTGAATATGATTGCCACATCAATATATCCGCTGATAGAAATACTTGAACAAATATATAACAATATAGTGTTTGAAATTATATTTTAACCAATAGAATTGTAATATTTCAAATGAACCATATTAATGAATTTACTTTGGTAAATTCAATAAGTTAAGCTGAGACGTTCATGGCCAATTTAATTTTGCAAGTGCTTACTATCAAACAATAACCTTTACATGCTAAAAGTGGAAAACTTTAAGTTTGGCAAAAAAGGGTAAAATTAAAACATTACACTCTCTTTGTGATTATGATAAAAATATCATATCAATATTAAGATTTGAATGTAATGTTACAATTGGTCATTATATTAATCGAGTAAATAGTGTTATTAGATTGGATTGGATGGTTTGCAACATAATATCACGGCAAATGCACTACTTACTGCATCAATTTTGATACGGATATAAACTACATGGACAATGTACTTAAGTTTGAATATAAAGTTTAAATGTTAAATTAATAAATGAATGAATAAATAAAAAAAGCAAATAAATAAATAAAAAAATAAATAAATAAAATAAATAAATAAAATAAATAAATAAATAAAAGAAAAATAAATAAGTAAAAGAAAAATAGATAAATAAATAAATAAAGTTGTCCAAACGGTTCTATTCAAAACGTAGCAGGCTTGGGTAAGTTGAGACCTCCTCCATGGGCAATAGTGGTATTTGCAAGCTACCGTTTACGCCTCATGGTGAAAGTTTTCACTATGCAATTCCATAAGCAATATATTAACCTAATGATATAATTACTATAGTCATTCCAAAATCGATTTTGATATTTCTTTTTTATTTTACAATAGTAAATTGGACTTTCATACATAAATAATAGAATATCTACTACAAAAAGAATCGCTTCAATAGAGGAAATAACGGTTAAAGTTTCGTAAGATCTACTACAGCGTAACAAATTGGTTCTATTCATTCACTATGTTCATTGGCTGTTAAGATATACCTAGAATATCTCGGGACGTTAAACTAGCTTTCTGTATCATTTGATTCCAAAACGTGTTCACGTGTGTGGCTTTCCATAATATTCTTTTAACTGTAGAATCTAAATAATGAAAGGATTCATTTCAGGAATATACCTATTATCAGAGAGCAATGGGATACGCTTTAGAAATAGATATAATGGAAAATCAATAAAACGCTCAAAATGGCATAATCTAATATGTCAAATGTTTAGTGCTATTTGGATTTAAATTTATTAAAATTTGATTCAATATTAAAACTTTCAAATGTTTCATACATGGAGAGGATGATATCAAAGTCAAACATCACAAATGTTGCCAATAAAACTCAGGCTGATATTTGTTTGGATTATAGTACACCTGACCTTACTGAAACTTCAAAGGTCCTTATTTACGGATTTCTTATAATTGTAATGGTATTAACAATTGCTTTAAATATTACTCTCATCGTTAAGATCAACTTGAATCCAAAACATAAATTATTCACTCGTTTTTTCCTGACATCTCTGGCATCAGTGGATTTATGTGTTGGACTGATTATAATGCCGTTCAATATAATGGACGGGTTGTATGACTTACGGCATTTATTCGGTTCTAAAACATGTGCTTTGTTAAACAGTGTGGACGTTATGCTGTCTACATCTTCTATTTTACATCTTAGCATCCTAACATACGAACGGTACATAGCACTATGCAAGACATTGTCTTATGGAATAAAATGTAATAAAAAATCAATGAAAATATTTTGTTGTCTTAATTGGATATTAGTGATAATTATCTCATTTGGAATCATTCTACCTGGATATCACGAAACAGGAATTGATTTTAGTGTGTTAAAATGTATTTATTCATCTGCAAATTCATGTGTACATGTGTTTGGTGTTTACTATGCAGTCATTAGTTCTGTAATATCATTTTTCCTACCAGGTGTACTGATTATTTGTTTCAATATTCGTGTTTTTAAGCATGTAAGGTTTCAAAGTCAGTACCGAAGGAATATACTAGGAATTAAAGTACGCCATAGAATTCGAACCGTAAGGCAGTCCCAGAGCATGCGCGTTGCGAGGACAATTGCTGTTCTAACTGGTTGTTTCTTTCTGTGTTGGTTACCATTTTTTACAGTCAATGTACTATCTGGATTTATCAATTACAAAATTCCATTCACATTTGAATTTATTGTACTGTGGTTAGGATATTGTAATTCAGCGATGAATCCATTACTTTATCTTCTACTCGAGGGCAAATCATGTATTGGAAAAAGCTGAAAAAACTCTTTGCAAATTACATGAAATATATATTAGATTTAATCATGAATTTTATTGTTAATATATTATTCTTTTATATAAAACTACATATATTCAACATAATCAAGATGCCAGGGCGAGGTGCAAATTTTAATACAATGATGCTTAAAAACTGAAATAAGATGTATGACCTATTTTGTTCAAAAACATTTTTTAGACTTGGTTGTTTTTTACAAATGTTTTGAAATCCTACTATGTATTTTGCAATACATTATTAAGCTTATACCTCAAAACGGCCATTATATTTATCATTAAAACATTTGGTTTTGAAACCATAATTTTGCAGGAGTTTGCAAAACTGAACAGATGTGCATGTTTGGAACACAAAAGAATTACAAAATTTTCAAAATACTGAGATTAATTTTATCATGATTTGATTTTGTTTGATATTTGACATTTCATTTAATGAAAATCAGTAATTTTGTTGTGTATCGTCAATATGGTATCTTATAATAATGCATGCCTTTTTCAACTCTCTTCAGGTTTAATTTTCATATTTTCCGCAACATCATTTTTATTTATCTACTTGTGATACCTTAGGGTGCAAAAGGTTTCAATGTGTTTTTGCTGTTGAAATACAATTTTCATAACATTTTTGCAAACACTTTTGATATTCTAAAGGTAGGACTTGCCTAGATCTTTATAAAAGTTATTTATATATTGAATAAAAGTCAATCGAATATTAAAATATTTATTTTTCTTACAGTTTTGCTTAAAGCATGCACAAATTTGAATGTCAAACTTCAGTACATTAAAGGTTTTTGAATGCTCAGTTCCCTGAAAACAATGACATCACCAGCTTTTGCGGTATTTCACCCTAACACTAAAATACAGGATTTTATAATCTGGGTGATTAAAATAAAAGAAAAAAGTTAGAGGAGTATATATTCCAACACATTAAGTGTTAATGATTGAATACCGCCTAAGCCGGTGCTAGAGGGCTTGAGGAATGTTGCACCTTTTCAGTATCCCTCACTGACACTTAAATCAAAGCGAGCCTGCTATGTTCATGTAATTTTCATAAAATCTTAATAAATCAAAATATAAAAGTCAAAAATTACAATTTTAACAAATAACATTCGTATTGCCAATAGTGTCATAAAAAAGTTTGAAAAGTATTTTTGGAGAAACAGTTTGCTCAATTAGATTTCTTTTCATGTACAGTTAATCCTGTATCTGTCGTGGCTGGCATTTAGCATGTTAATACTGTACTTGTCGTGCCTGGCATTTAGCACGATAAACTTTGTTTAATCATTATATGTGTTTGTAGTTTACTCCATCGATACTAATTATTCCCTTATTTACTTAAATTATATCTTTTTAAGCGTTTCAAACGATGGTAAACACGCCTTCTAAAAACCTACTTCACCGCCCTCGTATTTGATGTTCTCAGATGTTAATTTCAACAGATTTTCTGCTTGTAATTACAAGCTAACAATAAACAGTTATTGAACTCGTTTGTAAAGACTAATTTTGTTGTTTGAGAGGATATGGTTCATTTTCATCTGGTATAACGAGTTTACAAGAGGTACATATTTTCCACACTTGCTTTCATAACTTATTAAATTTAACATTATAGCATAAAAGACTGTTCAAGACGGGAAGAACTCAAGCACCCTTTGTGTATGTTACTTTTTTTAAAATTGTCTTCTGACGTTTTTTTTCTGTGATATGCAGACATCATAATCACTGTTCATCTTTCAAAATTCCATTTTGTTTAGTACCGCGTTTTTTTACTTGGTGACCATACACCACATTTTTATGGAAAGGCACGAACGAAATGTGAGTCGGACCGAGTCTGTGGCGTTTTCAATTTTTGTCGTTTTGGGTGCTCTTTGGCGAATTTCTTTTTCTCTGTTTTTATTTTCATTTAGTCTAAAAACCTAAAAACAAAGATTTAAGAGTAAAAAAAAATTGTATTCAGAATTATTATAACCCTAATTCCCTTTTTTATTTTGATCGAGACATAATCGCAAAAAAAAACATACTATCCCCTGCTATTTCTTCATGTTCACGTGTCATTGTAAGGAGAACGCTAGATAATTAAAAAGTGATTTAAAACTAATATAAAGCAACTATAATACTGAATTTTTTGTTTACAAAGATAAGTTTATAAAACGCTATCCCACCAAATAAGACCAAATACAACCTCACTTTGTTTAAACAAGTAATTTTGAAGTTAACAAGAACTGTCCCAAATCTTTTTGAAAGGTAAAACCATTAAATACCTCTCATTTTTACATATTTTATAACACAAAGGCGAAAGTATAAAAGATATTTTAAAATATATTTTTAGATTTTTCTTTGGCATGACATGAACTGAAATAATTTTCAAAATTTATCTACCATTTAATGTAGGTCTAATGACACCAAAATAAAATGTGTTTATGTTTCTTTTTTATTATATTTTGTACATTTTACCAGGGATCTCTGTCAGAAATAAAGAAATTGTATGTTCCAGATTTTCAGAGCTTAGTGGAGCTCTTTTAGATACTATGAAGGTTAAGCTGTTAACTGTTCATATTTAAGAATTCCATTTTGTTTAGTACGACATTTTTTCTTGACCATACACAACATTTTATGGAATGGCGGTAGGACCGAGCCTGCAGCGTTTTCGACTTTGTCGTTTTAGGTGCTCTCCTCAATAGCATTGTTATGAACGTTGATCTCCCTTGTTGACTTTTATTCTCATATCTCATGGTATGAATACATATGCATTTATGAAAAATACATTCAGTTTCTTTAAAACCACAACAAATATCTCAAATATGACATCTTCCGATGGATATTGCAAAAAATAGACTTAATAACAATATTTTTGTATTTACTTCAAAATTATAACATTAATCAAAGAAATTACAGTCGACCTATGCCGTCTTCTTGTATATATACTGTGCTTTCATTCGTGTTGGAAGTATATATTATCCAAACGGTTTCACCACTTTAATTGTTTGGATATTGTTTTGCATTAATAATGGATTAATGACCCGTCTGTTAATTTAAATATGTAGAATGATAAAGTAAAGCCCTCAAAGTTATTTCGGTGTTCAACAAGTCTGTGTCTCTTTTAACTTTTTATCATTGCGTCGTAATAAATTTAAAAAAGAATGAAATACAATCAAATGTTCCTTCTAGTTAAAAAAATCTATTCATTGTGACTTTAGTGTTGTTATATTTTTATGGTTCTTCTGGATCATTAAATGTGCTGGAATCAATGATCCCGAAGAACCAGAAAAATTTTCCAACACTGATTTCAAACATAATAGTACACATAAACATTAAAAAGTACATACATCCAGTTGAAATAAACAAGATCAACAAGGAAGGGCGGCATTCAATGAACGCAATACCCATAAAATACTTTCAAATCCAACAACACCCTCCACCCTCACAACCCCCCCCCCCCACAGTATTTCAAAAGGTCAATTTTGAAATAAGATGCAACATGTAAAATACAACCATAAGTATAACTTGAAGGTTACCAAATATATCCATAATAATCATATTACAAAGTATATACGTAAATCTTCCGTAAAATATGTAAATATGCTTTAAACAGTATCATTTTCACTATTGTTTTTGAAGTTTGTATAATATGATTTCTGCATAAAACACCACATGATATTATAACATGCCGCTTAAAATTAAAATGTGTAAAAGCAACAGTGTTTCATATTTCTCCAATCTTGCGAGAAATATCATCAATTATACAACAGTGGAAGACATTTTCCTAACAAAAGAAAACAGTTCATTAACGTCCTCACGCAATATTCCAAATAAAACTGTACAATGGGAATTCTTTGTTATCGTTATTTAAAACCAAAACGTTTTACTAAATTTCAAATTCACACAGGTGACATTGTTGATATTAAGAATTGTTCCCGTGTCTATAATAGCGAATAAAACTAAGTGCTAGGTGGCGTGAGAGATATTTGTGATTTTGTTTTCGGTTTTTCAAAGTGATCACCACATTTCTAGATTTTTATACAGAAAACCGGTTGTTTCGATTTTAATGTTTTGATGTTTTGTAACATTGCTAAAGGTCAACGTTCGTTTTATCTGTCGTTTAAGAGTATAAACTCAATCCCCGAGCATTTAAACACCAATATAAGACTTTACCCCCATTTTGACTAGAAAGTGCAGTGGACGCTATTATATATTGAATTAAGTAACAAAATGGATTGTTAATCATCAAAATTAATTTTTAAATCATTCCCATAACTATATGTAAACGACCAATAAAAAACTTTTTATGTTTTTACACAAATTTGACATCTGTCTTAATCATTAATGTTGTTTTAAACCATTTCCACACTACAGATGCCCCTTCTGTATTTAATAATTATTGACCATTTACAAGGGGGCGGTTCAAGCCGGGGATAGGGTCTGACCGCCAAGTGTGTGTATGGTCAAACTTTTTGTTATCCATGACTTTGTCGTTTTTTATTTAAGACTCATATTTTTTCCTTTTAAAGTTTAAGTCCTTTTTATGTTATTGTTTTAATAAATCAGTTTCAATTTAACTTTGACTGTTGCTATTGATTATTGAAATATTTGCAATAGAAACGGTTTTATTGCAAGTCTTTCAAATAATGGAACACATGCTTATTTAGCAGTGTTTAGCTTAATATATATATTTAAAATAATTAAAATTAAAGTTGGAATAATATGTTTTTAAATTACATTAATATAATTTGTTCTAGTTGAAACATTAATAAGTATCCATGCACATTAAATATTTCGACTTCTATAAAATTGAAGAATCACTATCTTTAAAAGTTAATGCATAATATCATTTGATGATATAAATTTTTGAAAAGAATTGTTAACAAAAATGCTGTTTTTGGTCAATCGTCATATGCAAGACATGTATGCAGCTCTTCAAAATTAGGTACTATTTCAATTATTACACAAAATGTTTTCTAAACATATTTAAATATCTCTTCCAAGTCAATTTCATTTAAAAATCTGATTCCAGTTCTTAAAAGTGAGTATGAACATTATCATATCAAGTTGCAATTGGCTCAACAATTACAGTCAAATGTCTAAGTTTTGATACAAAGAGAGCCGTGAAACCATTTTACTTTGCCACAAGAGGTAACTAGTTTCCTGTATAAATATAACTATTATATATTTTTTATATTTTCAACATGTGTAATATTATAATATCATTTTGACGTCGTGGCTTTATTAAGCTTGTTTCTTGCATACAATAGATACCAAGTTAAAATACAAAATAAAAATGTAAAATAAGAACACGGACACTATCATTATTATTAAGTTTTGTTATCCTTTGTAAGTACATCAAATATTGTATACTTTTTGCGAGTGTGAAGTCTGCATGTTGAATATAAAGCAACCGTAATGGATTGTTTCAAACAAGTTTGTTGTCAATAACACGGCAAAGATATTTCGTAACTATCTTACCAGGTTGTAAACAGCATTCTTATCCGAATAACTTATTTTAATACATTAAAAATGAATAAGTTCAGTGTAATATATCTTTAGTATCTATATTTATGATTTCGTGTTTACTGATACAAAAATGTTGGTTATACAACATAATTTAAAATAACAATTGCTTCTTACTAGTTGGAATTTTAAACACCAAATAAATCTGGCAATGCGAGATTCCTCAGGAGCAATGACAAATCAACAACAACAAAACAAACAGATAAGAATTGCAGATTCGGTTATATTTATTCTGTTCTTGGGGCGTCCGTGGCTGAGTGGTTAAGGTCGTTAACTTCAAACCACTTGCCCCTTAATTCTGTCATGTGAGGAAGCTATCCAGCTAGGTTAAGGGACGCCGATGGTTCTACTCAGGTACACATTCGTATTAAAAATATTTCCACTGGACCAGTGTCTAGTTTTAATGAAAACATAAAGAAATATTATTCTTTTCCAAATAACATAATAACTTTCCTATCTCAACTAAAGTTATTCAGAAACCAGAATAAACGTTACAACTTCAGTGTTATATTTTTCTGTCTCTCGGGATCATTGATTCCAGCACTTGAAAATTAAGTACCACGTAAGCAGGGGCTAGGGGCGTGAGGAATGTCTTTTCATTATCCTTCATGTAGGGACTCAACCAAACAGAGTATGCAGTTTCCATATAAAGTTGTTGTGATTAATGTTTCCGAGGGAATCACCTTCTTTTCCAGATTTTGTTACATACTTGCATTGTGTAAACTCTATCATTATAGTTATCCAGTGTTTTACTTGCGTCTCAGCCAATGCATTAGCGTATGTTTGTTATCGTAGACGTATATGAATGTAATTTTTGTAAAGCATATTATTAAATCATCTGTCTACCTAATATTAACAATAAAAATAAATACTACCAATATTTTCACTGAATTGATTCGACTTTAATGTATCGGAATTTGTTATTCTAATTTACACGTGACTTAATGACATCAGGTTAGATAAAGACCTTGTTTCAGATTATAGCATTCTGCTGATCTATTTTCAACACATAGATTACATATAAAGAAAAATTCCCTGCATAACTTGCAATATAAAGTAAAAAAGCATTTACATTAATGATAGGTAAATTGTGTTTAACGAAAATAAAATAGAAGAATTAACACTTATGATTGTACTCTTAATAATGAGAAGTAGATAATATAATAGATGATGAATAATATATAAAAATTCAAATCTAAGGAGAGTTGTAAAAGACATACAGTAGTACACGGAAAATAAAGAACCCACTTATATGACTATCATATGATAAATTGTGCATTCTCTAAACATTATTGTTTCAACTCTTAATCATTAGAAATTACTGTCAGAGTAGAGTGTAAGTAATATGTTGTTCAGGAAATAGATATAAAGTTTGAGTGCATTGTTGTAGATTAATGCACGGTCCGAGTACAAATGCGTAGGAATAAATCATCAAGGCCAATAGACCTGAGTGATTACTTACAAAGCATTTGTACGATAAACTGCCACAGTCTGTGCATAATTATATTAAATGCACGAAAAAATAATACCTATTTCAATTCTAACATGCTTATAAAAAGAAATTTGATAAAAATATATTGAACTCAACTGAGCTGAGCGTAGAAGTAATTTTTATGACGTCATTTGGTTTATTAAAGTCGTTTTTTGACGTCATATGACGTGTAAGCATTCCTTTGTTATGCTGTACACATATCGTGCAATAATGCACTAGAATGACCTGTCTGTTTGATAGGGGAATAGTGTAAAGTGTATTAAAATATGCAAATCATTTGTACTTATGATAAAAAGTTAATATTTAAAGTATATAACAAAAAGATTTATGTATACTTATAAATAAAATATTGAGAAATATTGATGAATAAAATGCGTATTTTCATTTTCTGTATTTTAACTGTAAAAAAATCATTTTTAACTGAAGTGAAGCCGTTTTCCGTATTTTCACTGGTGTCTTGCGGGCTAGTTTCTTCTAAACTCTGCGAGTACACAAAATATAACGGAAATTCTTTCAAATTGTAATGTCAAAATAAAAAATAAATGTATACATGTATAATTAAACAGAAAATTCAAGTTTTTGCTATAAATATAGGATATATTTTCATCTTGTGGTATGAAATTTATCATATTTCTTTCGAGGCTACGGCAACTCATGAAATATTTATTTTCATACCATTCGATGTATATAAATCCTGTATTATTAAAGAGAAAAAACTTGAATATCCTCTATATATACATAATGATGGTTTTATTGCTGTATTCAAAAGTTTCATTTGCCATGGGAAATTAAGTATACTGATATAACATTCACTTTGGTAATTAACGCTATAAATTTGCTGAATTAGCGTAATCATCCATTATCTTCTAGAATATAATATTTGTGAAGTACACTTAAGGAGATATATAAGATAGTGCTTTAGATACAATATTGACCTCGAAATCCAATCAATAACAAACTACTTTACACACGATAATATATTTATTTAATAAGAAGATCGAGATATTTCATTCCTTAACAAAAGAACAATTTAAGATAAAAACGTTATTTAACATAATTTTAGTTCAGTTAAGTCTCTCTGTCTACCCATTACCATAAGAAATTGCAAATTTTGCTTCACATAAGTGTTTAACAATCAGGAGAATACGAATGTAATAGAACATAAATCTTAAAATAGATACAACAAATACAACATATAAAAGCTCAAACACTTAAATAGGTTAACAACACATCATTATTTTGAAAAATTTAATTGTCTCATTAACGAATGTATGATAACCGCAGCTTGTAACGTGTTGTTAGGGATATCTACACTTTTTCTTGATTCTCGAGGTTCTCCTAACACTTTCATGTTTCCAGTTATCTGTTTAGATTAAACAATCTTTATGTAAAGTATGATTAAAAGCTAATACTTATGAATCCGTTTTTGTTCGAATTCAGTTAACGATATTGTAATTGAAAATAATTAGCCTTTTCTAGATGTATAAAGCTAATTTATAAAAACAGTTACTGTTGATAAAAAGTGAAATATATAGAGGATATTTGTTTGTTTGTGTGTAAGATGAAATTTTATTTCATCGAGTGGGCTTTAAAAACAGTATTCTCACGAGTGGCGAAGCCACGAGTGAGAATACTGTTTTTAAAGTTCACGAGATGAAATAAAATTACATCTTACACAACAAACAGACAAATTTTCTTTTTATTTTATGCTTAAAAAAAAGTTAAAACGAAATTTCCATAATTTTAACGTTAATATTAAAACTGTTTGCCCCATTGAGAGCCCCATTTATTCGGAATTTCTCATTAAAAAAAAAAGTCTTGAGCTGAAAAATAAGTCCGCCAATCAACATTAAATGACGGTGATATTTATTAATTTTATTAAAAAAATATGAATGATCGCTTGTTTTGATAATAAAAACAAACAATTCTTGTAGGAGAAAAAGTCCAACCATCCATCCATATTTCTGTTACTTAGTGCGAATTTATATTAGACCTGGCTTTGTAAATTGTAAGCGGCAGCCATTTTTTAAAGTTGTGTATTTCATGGGAGGAAAATAATTGTGTAAGATTCAGAGGGATATAATTTGGATTTGTTAGTCATACACATTTTTAAAAGAAAGAAAACTTATTTGAGGATTGTAACAGACAAAAAATAAGTGTTGACAGATGTGAAAACATTCAGAAAAGGAGCTAGGAAAATGGAAAACTTGGAAACCTGCTCAAGAACGCTGGGTTGATTTAACTTATTCTTCGAGTTATGGCTGTCAATGCTTTCAATTTTTCATAAAGCATACGGCAGTTATTGCTCGTAGGATACTTTAATATGCCCAAATGTCATCAAGAGCAGTTTTGCATGGGGAAGGAATGTATTTTTGAGACTGTCAAAATGAAACAAAAAAACGAAATTTGGTGATTGGAATTTCATGAATTTGAATGAATACTTATAGAAGTAAGTTTTCTTCTTTTTATTACTTTTGACATTTAAGTTATTTATCAATTTCAGTTTTGCTTTTTCTTTAAACAGCCTGACATTGTCAGAATTGTCAGCAAAAATAAAATTGAGGTACCACATGGGGAAAATCTTAAAAAAGTAGTTTCGTCATTGAAAAGAGTGAAATTATATTTTGATAATTTTCACTGTGAAATTACCAAATATAATTTTCACGGATAAATCAGTAATCCACTGAAAAGCAAAAAATATATGTTTTTTACTCAGTTTCAATTTTTGTTCTAGCTAAAATAAAGTCATTTGTAAAAAGATCTTTTATTTGAAATGTTTGATCCGTTCTATGCTTAACATATCACAGATACTTAATCAAAAAGCGATTTTCCTTCAAAACATATCAAAATGTCGATTTACCACATTAAAACATATTGAAATTTGTTTTAACTAATCTTGAAAAATTAAATATCATACCTTTTCCCCTTTCATCTTAATATAGACTGAATCTTTATTCAGACTCTCGAATGCCAACGATCCTCTTTGGATAACGTCAAGCAGTTTAAACAGGGTCATAGTCAGCCTTACAAGGTCATAGGTGGATAAACTATAGTCTTGCTCCAAGACAGATGTTACACTTTTAAAACAAGATTTCTGAATTCTTCGAACAGATATCATCTTGTTAACAAGACGGCAATCTTTGAAATAATTACCGAGCTCTGTAAGATATTATGTTTATAGATTTATAATAGACGTAAACTGAATGACTGTCTAAAACATACACAAACATTATGAAAAGTATCGGTCGTGCTTTTGCTTTAAATTATAGGCACATTATGCCTCAGAAATGCTATCATTTTTATAATTCAAAGACTTTGTATTTTTGGCATCCTGTAACAGTTTCTAAAAATTACTCATTTGCCATATAGATTTACAATCTTTGCTTCTTATGCTTTGCTGGCAAGTGCTATAATTAAAGTGAATTAGTATTTTATGTGGAAGACAAAATATTACTTTGTTTACATTTTGCTACCTTTACAACACATTGATACTATCGCCGGTATTTAACATGTAACATGCTTTAAATCCATTATTAAAACAACATTCAACACATGCTTGATATTTTTAGAAAATTTTATAAATATAGATTTCTGTTTTAAAGGGATACTCAGGCAAAATAATGACAAAAATATAAAAATGATCTTGTGTACTCAAATCACACTAAAATGACATTTCTTAAAGTCCCAGCATGAATTTCTGTATAAATTCTATATATTTTGGGTTTGAAGCTTAAATATATCTATATATGTTGAACGAAATTTAGACGCCAACAGAATCACCGAATAGTTTAAAAACAAGTCATGTGATTTGAACAAACCCTGGAAGTTACAATAACAGGTATTGTGGATATTGTATGATTGAAACAAGTCTAAGTAATTGATTTGACATGTTCTTTAACGTTTCCAGAGTACACAGTGACAACTATTGTGAAATCTTAGCGCTCTAACCTGACCCACGCGGGTCAAGTTAGGAAAACACCATTTTATTCTTTATATGGAGAAAAGTTGTGTTCCTTTGACTGTTTAGCGTATTCATTTTGAGGACATTTACAGAATATTGAATGAAAAATTCAAAACTAAGAAATGAAAATTTTGCCTGTGTCTCCCTTTAAGGGAAATTGTTTTATAATAGTTGTAGGCATAAAAACGCTTTCATGGTGATTAGATTAAAATGATGTTTATAATCCCCATGTAATAATTAGTTTCTAGTGGTACAAAGGTGGCATGACCTATTTTTTTAATACTCAAGGAAACCACTTATTATGTCTTTCAAGCAGGTTACTAACTATTCCGATCTAGATTAAAAGAATCTTAAAAAGACTTACATTAAAAGAAAATGTTGTAATAAAAAAACAACGCATGTAAGCTCTGTCAAAGTAGCGATTAGCTTATATTAATCAGTATTTTCTCTTTTATCATGGCTTTTTCTACTCAATCGGCCAAGTTAAATTGGACTATTTGTCATCAATAGTTATATGGTCTCCATAGCCGAACTGTTTTCATCGCTGACATTCATTTATTTGACCCTCACCAGTGTTGTTTTGAATCCCGGCATAGAATTTGGATTATATCAGGTGAGGAATATTAAAATGCTATCAAGTTATTTCACGGCAGCTCGATGGTACTAATCAGTTACTCACTAGTGCATGACAAAAACACAGAGATGAATCGGAAATATTTTTTCAGCTGTCCAGTTGGAAAACGAAAACCGCACTAAGAAATGACAGTGTTTTTGTGATACCTAATTGCTTTTGAATGTTTGAATGTATATAAAACTAACTCGTTCTTCTCAACTTTTTATGATTGGTCTTACCTCTTGTCATCTCGGTTCGATTCTGTTCTTCTGTGTCCGGATTAAATTTCTAGGAAATAAATGTCAATCGATACTTATATAAAAACAATACAAATGTTTCACAGAGTTGTCCACATTAGAAAGTTTCGTACTTTATTTTGCATACTATCGCCATTTTGATGTATCATAATCAAATATTTATATCCGAGAATATTTAACTAAGAATAAATCAAAGTTTCATATATTTAATATATATATAACATAAATATAATGATGAAATATTAAGAATTACAAAAGCTATTTAAACTAAATTTAAAGCTAAAATAGACTCATATCAACAAACCGTGTTTCCAAGTAAAGCTGTCAGTGTATACAATACCGGATTCAAAGCAGAATTTATAGGCAATATAAATACTGCTGTCCAAGCATAGATGTTTCCAGATATCACGTAGCCATTCAATGCCATTATACCTTCAAAATAGATATTATCGATGAAAAAGATGATAACACAGCGTTTCTCAAGGATAGAAAATATGTGATGCGTTTGTTATGTATAAAACCATCTTGCACCAGGTATAATTTTAAATTTTATGTTTCAACTAGTCATACCGAGTGTAACATTTAAATGTATACTACAAGAACTCTTAACAAACTTATTTCTGTTAATAAATGACAATGCATTTTTGTTGATTTTTTTTCTTTCAATACCGGTATTATTTAAAACAAATACCCATCACTCCTATCGGAAACCAACAAAGGAAGTCGGTTGTTACGACTAGAAGCAGATTTCTTGCAACCACCAAGTCCTTTTTTCTTGCAGATTTGATCTTATTCGTCCTTACACTTGATTTCCTTACTTCCATGAATATTGACCATTGTCCAAATGCAATCAACAAAAATGTAGCAAAGTTGAATCCAATAAATAATGTTACAGAGTAAAGCCATCCAGGGGGTCTATCACGAGTAAACGGTAAGGCAATGCAAACTCCGGACCTATTGTAGAATCTATTTTGGAAGTAGCTTTCAAAGATTATGGGTACCAAGGCAATTGTTAAAGATATCAACCATACTGTAAATGAACATGTGTTCGCCTTTTTTGCGTCAAATCGAAATTGCCCAAACGGAAACTTGATAACCAAAAGTCGATCCACAGTTATCAGGCATAAGAACAATACGCTTGCTTCCGATGAGCACGCAGCCAGAACTCCGGCTAGGTTACACCACACACTGTTTCTCCAGTAATCATCATTGAATATATACCTGCGTATAATAATACCAAATGAATGTAAATATCAGAGTAAACATTCAATGTACAGTGTATGTGTTTCTCAGAAAAAAGAAACGTAATGTTTTTTGTTCAACTACAGATAATTTAACATTTTGAGTATCAATTTCATTTTACTCTTTGAGTATAAATTTCATTTTACACTTTATCAAATTTAAATTGACTTCAATATTGACCTTTGAAAATTACCATTGATCAGAGGTTCATTGATGTATTTTTTATATATTACTTGTCAGTTTATTGAATGGTATAGCTTTACCTCTTTCTAAACACAGCGTCTGCTGCAGCTACAATTATGAGGTAAACGCCCATTAAAAAGTCTGCAACAGCCAAGTTTGTGACGAAAATACCAAATCCCAACTTTAATCTGCTTCTGTCATATTTCAACCTATAAACTAGAGAGAGAATGTTCCCAAAGAAGGCCGATAATCCAACCAGCCAAAGCATTGTCTGCAAAATAGATAGTCGCATTAAATCCTCGCAAGACGAAAATGCATCTTTGTAGGGGTAACAATTATTTTCAGGAACGTAATTCGGACGGATACAACAGAACTTAAATGCAGGAGTCCTTAGTACTTTCAAGTCCCTCAATCCAGTGAAGATATTTTGACTAAACTCTGCCACACTGCTTGTTTCAAAATCAATGACATTGACAGACATGTCGTTAAATGCGTAGTCCTCGATAACAATAAAGCTATTTCCAGACAGGTAGATATGATTCAAACGCAATTGTGAAAAAGTTCCGGAGGTAATCTTTCGAATGTTATTTGATCTGAGATCTAGAACTTTAATATTTTTTATTCTCAAGAATGCTTGGTGAGTAATTTCTTCAATTCCACAATGAGAAACATTTAGTCTCGCTAACGTTTTTAAATCTAAGTAAGATGCTTGTAGAATTGACTTTAAAGCGGTATTAAAACTTAAGTCCAGAAGCCGGACCTGTTTTGGTAATTCAATGATGTTATTCATTTTAAGCCCTTTAGCTTGGCACTGTACAAAATAACCAATGCAGCTACAGTTATAAGGACATTGGAAGTCACAAAGACGTTCGTCGTCGCCATGGACACAATGTTTGGTTCCATCACACAATTT